ATAGCATTTTATTTTATGAAAATGAGATAAAGAAGTTTTCGCACTGAAAGAGAAGTGATCTCGCGCTCATAGACGTGTCAGGCTATATCTGCAGCTAAACTGAATAAAAAGCAGAATGAACTGAAACGTTAAGACAATAAACACAATAAATAAATAACATTTATGAATGATGCAGTGCTAATTGACATATCATTTATTATAGTATATTTTCTACCTAATTCTGTGCAGAAAATTGAAATAATTGTTTGTAGCATATAAAACAATCATAAAATTGCCATTAGGAAAAAAATGATAGATTACAAATGATTGATTATTGTCCAGCAGTGTATTTGATTTCTTATAGCAAATTTAAAGTACATAATCATTTTAAAGCTCTTTTTTAAAAATCTTGGCTTACATAAATTTCTACATATGCCATGTCATGCCATAGCATCATTAAACTAGCATCTAACAATGGACAAAAGTGTTTTTTTTTCTCTCTCTAACCTATTGTTCTGTAACCATAAAGGCTGCTGTGTAATTTGTGCCCCCACACTAAGCATTTAAAGAATTTAGGGGAAGCATTTAAATAATCCTATGAATGCACTCAAAGAATGCAGAATCGAATCGTTAATCGAATCGAATCTACTTGTGAATCGAATCGTTCAGAATTTGCAAGAATCCTTCTTGAATCGAATCGAAAACCTAAGAATCGTGAATCGAATCGATTTGCTGTCTACCCAAAGATTCACCGCCCTAATTTATAGTTTATGATTATTATTATTTACAGATGTTATTTTAAGACGTTTCAGTTTCTTGTTACATTAAAAAAAAAATAAAAAATAAAAAATAAAAAGAAACAAATAGGCCTACTTAAATAAAGCAACCGTTAACTAACAATACAAAACAATTGTGCTGTCATTTTTGTAATCTATGGATAGCTGTGAATTAAATGATCTTAATGCAAGACGTGGAGGCAAAGAACCATCCGACATGCAGCGGACATCTAGCATTCTGCCTGCTGTGTTAACATAAATTTGAATTAAAGGGTTATTTCACCCAAAAATGAAAATTATGTCATTAATTACTCACCCTTGAGTTGTTCGAAACCCGTAAGACCTTCGAAGCTACGAGAATACTTTTTTGTGCAAAGAAAACAAAAATAACAACTTTATTCCACATTTTCGTCTCTACTGCGTCACTTTGGACGCGCGTTCACGACAGTACCATGACGCAAGTGTTTTCTTTGCGCAAAAAAATATTCTCGTAGCTTCGTAACTTTACAGTTGATCCACTGATGTCACACGGACTACTTTGTCGATCATCTTGGTACTTTTCTGGACCTTGAATGTGGTAGTTACCTTGCTGTCTATGGGAGGGTCAGAGAGCCCTCAGAGTTCATCAAAAATATCTTAAATTGTGTTCCGAAGATGAACGAAGGTCTTACGGGTTTCGAACAACACGAGGGTGAGTAATTAATGACAGAATTTTCATTTTTGGGTGAACTAACCCTTTAATTATCGAGAGAGAGAGAGGGAGATGAACGTTGTGTGTGTGAATTAACCGTGTCTGTGTATCTCTCAAAACAATGAAGCTGTGAGATTAGTTACTTCAAAAACATAGATTACCTCCTCATTTTACAACCGTCACTATCTTATATGACAAAAAAAAGGAAGTTGAATTAACTTTATACATAATGTGTATAAATAAAATTTGACTGAAATGCGTTGTTAAAGCTCTTCCTCAGCCCCTTCCCTGTCCACTTCATCTTCCAAATTGGGTCACATTTAAATTGACAGAATTTGAAAGCTGAGACAGTGATGGGTTGCGTTACCTGCCATTGATGATGGGCAGCACGTGGGAGCAGTGATACCCTGATGACACCACAAGTCCTGTCGAGGGCAGACCTGCTCCATCACTGACGTTGTTATGATAGAAGCTGAATAGACTGTCCACACCATACGCCACCCGTGGCACTCCATAACACTCAAAGAGCAGCTCAGACATCATCTGTCTGCCGTGAAGTGGGTTACAGGGTGGCTCGGTGATGACCACAGGGTGATCCACATGACCCTAAGGGCACAAAGGTGAAGTGTGTCATTGTTGAACAATTTAAATTTTGACTGCCAACTTTTTAAAATACTTATGATAAAATGTATATCTTCTTTCAAAACAGCAAAGGAAAGACTATTAGTGACATGAAAAGGTGAAATAGTTAATAGGTCTCATTCACTAAGTATGCGTATGCCCAACTTTGTGTGAAACCTGCATACGAACGTTTTCACGAACAAATCATGATTCACTAAAACTTTTGTACTGAAATGTATTCTAAATATAAGAAAACATAGGAACCACTGAAAGCACATGTACGCAAAAATTACACTGTGTATGCAAGCATGCAATAGGGAGGCTGAATGGTGTAGTCAAGCAGCTGCAGAATGACTTCCCCCGGTTGCTTCCGTCCGCTGCCCATCACCTCACCCTGCAGCAGAGTTCTTGGGCCTTAACAACCCTCTACGGACACCTTGGCAATTGAATCGCCATTAGCTAGTACATTTTTTTGTTTACTCGCCAAACTGATATACTATACATGAATATGTATATTTATTGTTTTTTTTTTACAAACATATATATA